CCGAGGTGTAATCTACTCGCCACGGGCAAGTAGATTACACTATTTGTCTAGTAATATATATAAATAAAAACACCTAGGATTTTTATGTGCACTATATTTACATATATTCAAGAATATATGTACATATATACAAGGAATTTATATAAGGAAAAGGCTTTCTACATTCTCAAAAGGACAAACTGGAGAATTTTGTATGTACATTTTTACTAGATTTTCTCTGCTGTGTCATATTTTATAGTATTTAAGTAGTGTATATCACATATCAATAAATAGTTCACTAAATCTGGCTCTTAATAGGCAACTTTTTGTATGCAAATCTGTGTACATTTGCATATACAATTAGCTGTCTGCATACACAATTACTGGAACTGCAGTCTGAATATTTCAGCATGTAGAGTTATCAAGATCTGTCCCCAAAAGACTCTCAAAATTCAACATCAAGAGCCTTACAATATGCTCTTGACTATCAATCCAGCTAGCTTTTAAACATCTCAAGTAATGGCTCTTCCGCCATTCCCTTTGCAAGACTATTCCACAGGAACAGCTCTCCCCCTGGGAGAATTCTTTCCTCTCCAGTGGGCCATATAACCTTTCCCTTTTCTCACTTTCAACCTATAGTTCCAAGTTCAGAGAACACATTCCTCTCAGATTTGATGCTTCCACTGCTCAGATGTTAGACAGAGCTATGGAAATGGATACAATATTATTATTGTGACACACACAACTGGAAATAAAACTATGTCGTATAGTTTTTCCTAATTTTATTTGGCCACGGAACCCTTTTGAACATGAAAGAATTTCACGGAACCCGACTGCGCGCACAGCGCTGAGTAGTGACATCATCGTCCCCACTCTCTGGCTAAGCTGGCATTAGACAGGGACACTTATGGCCAGCACAAGTGAAAATTGTTTTCTATAAAATTCATAAATGAATGAAAATTTCATTCCATGACAATAGTTCAGTTTCTGATGGAATTTTCTTGCTGAAACCTTAATTTCACTTTGCGGAACCCCGAGATTCCTCGGAACACCATTTGAGAAACACTGCTGTAGTAAAACTTCTCTCTTCCTGTATGCAGTGTTATTGTACCATGCTGGGGCCAGGAGATAGACAAGATGGGTGAGGTTCTCTATTTTACTGGACCAACTTCCATTGATGAGACAAGCTCTTCCTCAGGTCTGGGGAGGGTGTGCAAATGCATATAAGCTCAGACGCTTGGCTCGAGGAGGAAGACGCAAGGTGGTAAGGTTTCCGGCTGCCTCTCATGTGTTTCTCTCTTGTTGCTCTCTCGTATTGGCCAATACGTTCTATCTGTCTGTTTGGCTACGTCTACACTGGCCCCCTTTCCGGGAGGGGCATGTAAATTTCACTAGTCGTCGTAGGGAAATCCGCGGGGGATTTAAATATCCCCCGCGGCATTTAAATAAAAATGTCCGCCGCTTTTTTCCGGCTTTTAAAAAAGCCGGAAAAGAGCGTCTAGACTGGCCCCGATCCTCCGGAAAAAGTGCCCTTTTCCGGAGGGTCTTATTCCTACTTTTAAAAGCCGGAAAAAAGCGGCGGACATTTTTATTTAAATGCCGCGGGGGATATTTAAATCCCCCGCGGATTTCCCTACGACGACTCGTGAAATTTACATGCCCCTTCCGGAAAAGGGGCCAGTGTAGACGTAGCCATAGGGTAGCACTAGGAGTGAAAGGGACCATTCAAGGTGAAATGGCCTGTTAACACCCAGCAAAGTGATGAATTTAAGCTCCCAGGCCTACCAGGCCTCATCCTCAAAGAAAATGTTCAGAAGATAAACCTGGGAGCTTAAATTTATAACTTTGCTGGACACTAAAAATCACACAGTCTTAATCAAGACACTGGATTTATAGTTTTACAACAATCTGCAATCCACTAGTTCCCCTTTTTGTCTTATGATGGATGTTAACAGGCTACTGTTGAATGCTGCCTCAGAATATATGCTAACTCCTTATGCTAAACCACCTCTATAACTTTGTTTTTAGCAGTGACACTAAGTATCTTTCCCAGACATGAGGAAAAGCTTTGTGTAAATTTGAAACTGGTTCAAAGAAAGATGATCCCTCACCCATCTGGTTTAGCTTGTTTTTATAGTTTATAAATATTTGACCTTTTGATATATTTATTTTAATTTCTCTAAATCCAATGAAGAATTTTTATAACAAAGCTTCTTTCCTACTGCTCACATGGAGCTATATCAGAGAAGGGATTTGAGCTCCTGCGTGGTTTGTCCTTTCTGGGGGCTTTGGAAGAACACTCTGAGGATTTAAAAAAAAAACAAAACACCAAAACACACCAATCTCACCACAGCAACAGAATGAAATTTCTTCTTGGTCAATTTGCCTTAATCAAAGTCATGGCAGGAGCACTGGAAAACTCAAGGCTCATCAAGATTAGAGAAACACGTATCGATGTAACTAGACATGCCCTCAGTGTAAGCATGAAAAGGGATGCTGTCAAAATTGACAGACTTGAACCTAATCATTTTAACTGAGTAAAAATAAAAAGTGTCCACTCAGAGGCTCTGAGCACACAGTCACTAATGTAAAATTAGTGAAACAAAAGGCCTGGTGGTTAATGATCTATTTTGGCCCAACAAATCTGAAACCACTTTTGAATTGTTTCTGGTGACAAAGGTAATAATAGTAGAGCATTGGGTATGGAGAAGCACTGAAAGAAAAGATGAGAATTAGCGCCAACAAGTGGACTGACCATGAAGTGGAAAGTGATGATTAGCTTCTGCCATTGGAAATATCTGGCTAATGCTTTCTTGAATTTTTTTTACATCTTAAAAGTGCTATCCACCTACTTCATTCATCACTGAAGGATGAAAGTTTATTTTTATACACTAGTGTTGTCTACATGCAGACAATGCGACACAGGCAGAAGAGATACTGACCATGGTAGCTAAGAGAGCGTGTGTCCCTGGATATTAATCAGTTACTATGAAACAGGTGTATAGTACATAACAGACATGCAGTAGAGACAACATCTGAAAAATGGGGTTTGGAAGAGTCAGAGACATTAATGGAAAAGTGACATTAGGCTGGAGAATATAGCCTAGCTGGAGAGCGTGTGTGTGTTTTGGATTAAAGGTGGTTTAATAGAGAGTTCTTGTAGGAGAAATGCTCCAGAAAAAAATCTTCCTAAGTGGAAGAACAATAGGACAACAGAACAAACTGCCTAGGAAGGTTGTAGAATCTCCTTCATTGGAGGTTTTCAAAAGAGGCTGGATGGCCATATTTCTTCGATGGTTTAGTCCCAACAAATCCTGCATCTTGGCAGAGGATTCGATTAAGGCCTTTTGAGGGCCCATCTAATCTTATGGTTCTGTGAAAGAGACAAACTCTGCAGAGAAAATCCACCCTACTAACACATAGTTCTCCAGCTTTCCATCCAGTACATACAGCTATAAAACCTTTATGTCCATTAGTAAACACTGGCCTGACAGATATGAAAGCAAATTTTCTTTTGTAATAATGCCCCCAGCACTGATTTTTGGCAATTTGGCTTAAACAACGTTTATCATGAACAAGAGGTAATAGGTGGGGTTTTTTGACTACTCAAGATATAAAAGTGTATACACCCATTTTCATTTACCTTAAATAATGTATAACTTTTCAAACTAATCTAGACTGGACTTGATTCCCCTACCTCTCAGTAACTCTGCAGGCAATCTACTTTGTGTGTTCTTCCTCTAATACCTATACTGATGCAGACACATTATAGACTAAATATGTCAGGGAATAAAAAACAAAAACAAAGGATAAGCTCCAAAAGTCAGCGTCAACTCTTGAAATCAAAACAGTATGTGAGCAGAGCTCTGAAAGAATAAAGATGTGGTTCACATTATACTTAGGTCCTTTTGCCATGAAACAACTTCTGTAAGCTGTTTCCTAGGCCTTTGCTGGCTCATTGAGCCTCCCTCTTTATCCTCTGTAACAGTTGTTTGAAAGCAGCAGCACAAGCATTTATCAACCACTGAGCAAACCCTTCATTCAGAAGACAAATACTTTTTGTAACCAAATCACATGTTCAAAATGTTATACTTTAACATTGACCTAAGACAGACAGTAAATTTGACACAAAAGAAAACAGATATGTCATTATTTAGTAATTTCAATATGGTAGCAAAGCCCTTGTAGTAACCTAAAAATATGCACTCATTTAAACGTTGCTCACCTCCCACAGTGGGAGTTGTAGCAGTCCTGGTAAAAGGTTCTATTTTGGACACCAATCTTATTAAATGGAGAACTGGTCCCTGGTGACTTGACACTGACCAACAACATTTCATCATGAAGATGCCTCCTTTAAAAAAGCAGAACACAACAAAACACACAAATGGGTTTATCATCCCTATCGCCTCATTGTGCCCACTGTAGGACTACACAGCCGTCAAGGTATCAACACACATCCTCATTCTGAGACTAAGTGTGAACAAGCTGATCTTGCAGAAGCCAACCATGTTCTTACAAACTGACACAGGCTTTTGCATTCCACAGCCATTTGGATTTGCTGTGTAGGACCCTTCTATGCATCCTCATACAGCACCCATTCAGTGCTCAGAGGCTGGTCTTTCATGTCCTGAACCATAAAAAGTTTTTATTTTACTTTTTTCTTACAGGGAGAAAAATCAACAGGAAAAAAAGTGTATCGTTCAAAGCTAAATAGCAGTTCTGGACATTAGGAAATAGACAAAAAAATTCTTTAACATGATTAAAATTTCAAACATGTTAGTATAATATAAATTAAAAGATACAACAGAAATGAACTAATAAAATATTAAATAGACAATGACTGAGTAAAAGCTGAATGACTCATTCTGAACGAAACCCAATCATAGAATTGTCTAACTGGGTTTCTGGACTACATCCCATTGTTGTGTCACAGATACAAACACACACTGAAGTTGTCCAGAGCCAACTGGAACAAAACACTGCCAGATGGAATGGCCCAAGATGAACAAGCTATTTATGTTGCAAAAAGTACTTAAATACTTAGTAAAGACCTAACAAACCCCACCCTCACCCCTACTGTTATCAGACGCCACGTTGTGGTAGAACAGACAAACTCACAAATTTACCACAAAAATGTGTGGCAAAAAGAATATTTTATATATATGTATATATATAAATTTTTATATTTATGCCAATGTACTCACTCAGTACAAATAGCAAAATAGTATACCATTTCCTAAATACAAAATATAGCTTTCCAAAAAAATGAAACACACATTAGATATAAACCATCCAAAACTTGAACGATTGAAAACTGTATTCAAAATTAAATGACCCAGAGCAGGTCTCTTTCTGAAAAGTTCCCTTCATATCGGCAAGAAGCCTTACTACTGAAAACGTAATTAAATGCCTCTCAATGAGAGAGAGAGACAGACACACACGTACACACACAAACACACAGAAGAAATGAACATTGTGACAGACTAACACAAGGGAAAAACCGTTAAAAACAAAGAACAACTCTACATGGCTCAACTAGGTGCACAAGTTAGAAAAAGCACGCCGTACACATACTAGGGTAACTTAAAAATCATTTACAGGCTACCCTCCATTGCTTAAAACACCAAAATGAAAAGTGACAGGATGCCAACCAACTACACCACACCAAGGCACGATAGCCAACGTCAGCTGTTTGTCTCTGACCGGCATTAACAGCTTTCTACATGCAGGAGTGGGAAAGACTGAAGAAAACATCTGCCTGAAGTTGTAGCGAGATGTATGCTTCTCTTGGGCTAGTCGGAGCATCTGAAAGAATCCGCACGCCTCACACTACAACTGCATGGCCTGGAGTGGGTTATTTTTAGACGCTGTAAAACACGAGTGAGCTGTTTTTAATTAGTGTAGGTGTGACCCCCGCAGAGGCTTCAGCATATGGGAAATGCTAGTAAAAAGGGTGTTTCAAACCTGCACAGAACTGAGAAAGCTACAAAGATGCAGCAGCTCAGCTTCAAATGAGGTTTTTAAAAATGGTGAAAAATTAGGTTTTCCCCTCCATATGGGATATCATTTAAGACTTTACACCAGCAACAACAGGAAAAAGCAGAGTTTCTATAGGATTTGGAGAGCTTGGAGGATGCACACAAAACCAGCATTTTCTCACTTCCACACGCTCTGGTGACTATCAAGATGCAGCCACTGGCTTGACACTTTGCTACCTCAATAAGAGGTGCCTTGGATGCCTAAGAGTTACTTCAGGTTTCTAAAACCAGTAGCATATTTGTATTTGCCTGAGAAATAAAATAGCATAAAGTTAGGGGTGGGGAGAGAAGTGTCTAGAAAGAAGGGAAGAGGGCAGCCAGGCATGAGGAGGGATGATGTCTAAGTTCTAAGCTATGCAGAACTAGCGAGAGGCATGAAGCAGTTGTTTCTCCAGCCAGGCAGACTGCTCTCTTCAGGTCAAGGTATTTTAGAACAATTTACTGTGACTTTCCCCTTCATTTTGATAGAGCCACCCAATTCTTACTCTATGCAGTTTAGATCTAAAGCCATCAGTACAGACACATAGAAAGCTGTTAATCACACCCTCAGATGAGAAATACCTACACCTCGCTGGCTGCTCCTAGAGTTGTAGCAGACTTTCTGCTTGTATACTTTATACCACCACCTTCTAGATTAACGTCCTTCAGCTCGATTGTCAAAACTGCAATTCCCACACTGGCTGCTATGCCATGAATCACAGCTTGAGTTAGGGCCCATGGTGTTCCTGCTTCACAAGCTTTCCTGCTCAACTGAGGGGCCGTGAAGGAGGAAGCAAAGAAAAGAAAAAGTAAACATGATAACGTGTTATTTTCTAACAATAATAGCTGAGCAGTCATGCTTTGAATTAAAACAGCAGCCCATTGACTAATGGGGCCTAAGAACATGGTAATGGTCCAATTCCTCCCCCTGTAACACAAAGCATAGCTTTTCAGCCATTATTGGCCTCAGGAGTCTCAAATGCTATCATTATAGACTCAATAGCTAGACACTGCAGTAGGCAGCATGTGTGCTCTTTAGAAAAGAGGGTGAAATCTACACGTTTGCTTGGGTGCAGGCCATCCTTTGACAGAACAGTTGAAGCTCCATACACCCTAATCAGAGCCACAGGGTCTGAAGGGATCTTCAAAATCATCTGTTCCTTCACAGAATTTCTGAAATTAAAAACAAAGCAGAATTAGGCATAACTAATAAGTCTCATCTTATATGTAGCTCCTTCATTTGAAAGCACTTTACAAACTACAGACTTAAATCGAGACCAGTGCAAAAATGCAGCCATTTCTGGGGCAAAATATGTATGACTCTTTTTTCCAGTTTACATCATCATTACACAACAGTTTAGCTGGGAAAGCAAAAAGCACAGCATCCACTTGAAAAATCTGAGAGTTTTGGGAAGCAGAACATCATGACACAGGTTGGATACAGCTGGATGCTGTGGCTACCCTGGAACTGAAGAGCCCATATATATTTAATGCTCATGCACGAGCAGAGCTTTTCCTGCAATGTAGGGGTTGGGGGAAAGCACCTTCCAGCAACAGACACTTCCTAGCACCCTGCTGTTGTACAGGCTCAGTTGTAACAATGATTTGGCAAGCGGTGCTTTTTCAAGAAGCACTATTTCCTGCAGTACCTGGCTCTCAGGCAGACCATTTCAGCACAATGGGACTATAGATTCAAGTGGAGTCTAATACATCCACAAGAAACCTACAATTTTAACTGAAGCCAGATTTGCTGATTGTTCACAGAGATGTTGGGTCAAGCTGAGAGTGACCCACGCACCTTAACTTTGTCATTAGAATTATTAAACTGCAATGCCAGGTTACAGAACAACGAATGGGCAACTCCACAACAAAACTTAAATTGGATCATTTATTTTCTACAGATTTCTGATTGCAAAGTCATCATCTGTTAAAACAAGAGGCATAAATAAATATCACTGCATGACTAGCAAGGAGTCCCACACACCCAAATTCATTACTTACTTGGCTAATTAAAATGAGCCAGCCATGTTGTTCCCCTGGCTTTGTAACGAGACCAGCAAGTCATCAATTTTCTCTATACCCTGATTGGTTGTCATAGATGAAGGCAGGGGAGAGTTCTCAGTTATTTGCTGGGACAGAAGAGTTGTCACTGCTGGTTGCCCCTCACTTTGTGGCTGACTTGGCTGACTTATAGCCATCAGCTCATCTGGCAGTGTAGACGGTCCAGAAGTTAAAAGCTGGCCACAGTCTATTAAGAAAGGAATGAAGATGAACACAATAAGCAATGATGATAATCTCTAACTCTTACCTAGCATTTTACATCAGTAAATCTCAAAGTGCTTTACCACAGTCTGTAAAATTATCCCCATTAATGGGCGGAGAAACTGAGTCACAAAGTGTGACGTCCCTTGCCCAGTCACCCATCAGGCTACAGCGGTGCCAGGAATAGAATTAAGCCTTTATACACAGATACTGAAACTTGAAAATCCTCGGAGAGAGTTTGTTAACACACTAGTATACGTTTGAAGATCTCAGCTGCTCTTAAAATCATACTATTAACATCCCAGAAATCACGGGGAAGTGTCTTACTGAAAGAAAAGGATGGAAACAGTGTCATCTACACCAGGAGGTTTCAAACTACAGGGCGCGCCCTGTACTGGGTAATGGAATGTCAGGCACTGGGTCTTGTTGCTGCAGGGTGATCAGGTGACCAGTGGGCATGCTAAGCAATGGCGCCATTTCGGGAGGGCAGCAGCCGTGCGCTCTTGGCTTGCTTTTCATCCCATTCCCCACACTATCAGGGAGTGAAGGGAAATTCCTTGCATTCCGTTCATGCTTCTCACACCTGGCTGGTGAGCTCCCGTCACCAATATTCATCTACAAACTAGATAGCCATAAATTTGCAATTGCCATTTGGTATCACTAAGCAATGGCGCCATTTCGGGAGGGCAGCAGCCGTGCGCTCTTGGCTTGCTTTTCATCCCATTCCCCACACTATCAGGGAGTGAAGGGAAATTCCTTGCATTCCGTTCATGCTTCTCACACCTGGCTGGTGAGCTCCCGTCACCAATATTCATCTACAAACTAGATAGCCATAAATTTGCAATTGCCATTTGGTATCACCT